GTGCAGTGCAATGAGTCAAAGAAATGTTATCTACTCCAAGTTGTTGTAAAAACAGATTCATCATCATAATTAGCTCCAAACATAATAAATGGAAAATAAAGAAGTAAAAATGACTCAAGGTTGGGATAAACTATGAAAATCTACCTAATAAACATAAGAAATAGGTACTTTAAGAATGTAATAAACCATGCTTATCAGCAATCTTGTGATTATTGAGAAATCTCGTGACAATTTTGTGATTAAGAATGTTTAGATTGTAGATCTAATCCAATGGTTAAGAATTGGTCTTACGGGTCTCACTAAAAACATTGGTCTCACATGATCCCAAGTATATATATATATATATATATATATATATATTTTGCAAGAATAATTAATGGTATATAATATTCGGTTTGAACTTTGAATCTAGGGTTTTCCTCTTTCAACCCCATGCACCCCTATGTTTCTTGGAAACATATATTCCACGAAAACCCCATTAGGGTTACCAAAGTCTTGAAATTTACAAGTCCAACTATTGACTTGGAGTTTCTAAATCATGCATATGATAGCCTCTAAATTGACACAAAATTCACATTCCAACTTCAATTTTTAATTATATATCCAAAAAGAATTTAATATGACATTTAACATATTAATATAGGGTTGGGTTTACGTGAGACCAGTCTGTTTTCGTGAAATTATTTTTTTACATTTGAAATTTCACAGCAAAATGTTGTGGAGGTAAAAAACCGAATCTTCACAGCAAAAACACTGTGAGTGTTGCATTTACATCGTTTTGCTGTGAAGTTTCAAGTATAAGAAATTGGTCTCACGAAAACAGTTTGGTCTCACGTGATCCCAAGTCTACTAATATATGTATAATTTTATGCAATAAGCATATAAACTACGTACGTCTTTCAGTAGACAAGAATACAGAAGAACAACCACAAATGATGCAATAATTTGTTAATGTATATATCATTTGAGTGATCCCAACAAATATTTTTACGAGTGTTATAATAAGATTGAGTTTATAAGATGTAAAAACAGTCTATATATCATAATATTTAGATTGTTTTATAAAAATTAAGTTTATAGGATCACACAATAATATATCGTACATTCGTATGTAAAAGTGTTGTAATAAATTTTCACGATACTTAACGTCTTAACAACGGAACTTTACCACTTTTTCGTACACGTTCACTTGCATCACATACACAAGTGCTCTCTGAACCGTGCAACAAGGTCACCCACAACACGACTCTCCCATTTGAGTTATAACAAGTGTTTTAGAATATTTTTGAAATAAACTTGATTTTGTTGTAGTAAATGTCTGGAAAGAATTGGAGCTAGAGATCCAAAATGGTGATGCTCAAGAGATCAGTTGCTTCAATCTGTATTCAATTAGCGAAGTGTCGAATCCCAATCGCGTATGAAAAGCCTGCACGAGTCAATTCATTTGTCGTAGTTAGTTTAGTAAACCCTCATTTTAAGTTTTAGTTAACTTGCAAGACATTATCCCACACACACATATATATATATATATATATATATATTATATCTACATCTATGTGTGTGTGTGTGTGTGAATTAAGGGTTTAATTAGGGGATGATATGTCGAACCTGAGCATGAATGGTGCAATGCTGGTTGTGACCCAAGCAGGAGGAACTACAACTCACAATTTCAGCACCAGATTGTTGTATAATACTCAATACTCGAAAAAGCTCGACCTTTCTAACGTTGTCCGCCTTACTAATGATCAAGTTCACCTCAAGGCTCGAATCCATTTCGCTCACTTGAACCACTTGTAGCTTGTGTTCGTGACTTGACTCGCCTGATATACGCTCATTTTGTAGTTCTTGTTTCCTAGCAGTCATTCGTTCGACTCTTTCCTTCCATTGTTTTAACGTTATCGTAGCTTGATCCAATAATGCAAGCAATGGCATTCTCTCCTGTCCATATTAATCATATCCAATATCCATCAGCCAATATACATATAATCATTTACAAACCCAATAAATCGTAGAAACTTAAAAACCAATTTTCATGTCCAGAACTTCACATATGAAATAATACTGTATAAACACTACATTTTCACATAAATTGTTATGTAAATGAAATGAAAATTGATATATAAGGTTTTACGAATTATTAGGGTTTGTAAAAGAAGGGAACTAATCCATCATATTAAATGCTCATATTAGTTTTAACATTTGGGGATTAATCATCAAGAACTTCCATGAACATCCTGATAGTTCATGTGAGTTCTTCCATATACATACATACATTCGTACACACACACATACATACACACATACATGTATATATATATATATAATCTGTGAATAAATTAAAGGGAAGTTGTGGGTGAAAAGAAAAGATAAAGAAATTTACGTAGGATTGAAGGTGGAGGAGAGATGCAAGTTTGGAGTAGAGGTCCTTCATATGATCTCGCCGTCGTTTTTCCATGGCTGCCGATGGCCGGAGAGAGGAGGAGCCACCGCGCTTCATGGTTACTCTGCAAATTAATTAAGTTAGCTCCTGGCTTATTTTATATATGTGTGTATATATATATATAATATATAATAGAAACAGCTAGATGGGAATCAAACAGCAATTCTTAATGGGAATTTTAGATCGCCGATTTTTTGAACAAATGATCTGAAAATATAAAACAGGATTGAACTCGTCAACGAATTCAACGGTCGTTATCGGACAAATCCATCACATGAACATTCCCAGCAGTTACCAGCTTGGCTACTGCTACTTGCGTGGCAGCCGAAACTTATTATTATTGTTTTTTTAATTATATATTCATGCCAATAATTCAATGCTTTTTCACACAATTTTTCATTACATATATTAATTTTGTTTGAAAGAGTTATATATGATTTTTGTCGACCAGTTGCATCTAAATTTAAAGCATGTATTGTTATTCGATGTGTTCTTAGCTAAATTCCATCGTTACAAAATATCTTTTAAGTTTTTTTTGGTTGATTTTAACGGATTTTAAAAAAAAAAAAAAAATTGATGGCGTTTTTTGTTTGATTTCAAAGACCTATTTTCGGGTTTTCTAATTGATGTTTCTTGTATTTTTTTTAATATTGAAACATCTCTCAAAGTTCATCAGATGCATATTTCAGACCCAGAAGATAATTCTACTTGTGGAAATCAATTAAGCTGGTGCAATGGGACCCTGCTCAACCCTTATAGATCCACCCTTACTTAGACTAGAGAATAGTTTTTCTTTTTTTTAACTTATATATTAATTATTTAATTTTATATATCATGTTGTTAAGTGGGATATACACCATTTGTTTGCTTAAATATGATATTAATTGGTTAAAGTTAATAAATTATATCATGATTTAATTCTTCTTTACTTATTAAGTGATTAATAATTAAATAATCACATTTGCATTAAATTTTAAATGTAAAAACAAATATTACATATTTTAATTCAAATAAAGTATGTTATCAATTAAGGTGAAATACAATGAACCAATCATGGTCCGTACAAGTCCAAGAATCAAACCTAATTTAAGAATCCAAAGTATTAAATAGAAAAAAATACCAAAGGCCAAAGAGTGTTAGTTTGTTGAGAATGAGAGTTAAAAGTGAGAACCATAATAAGAGATTTTCATTGTTGGATGTATATTAGGATAAGATATGCCGAGATGTATAGGATCAATTTTTGTATCAAACGCCAGACGGACCAATGGTATGTCAAGATTTATTTAGCAAGTACAAGATATAATTTAAAACAATAATAATTAAATCAGATTAAAACTCAAATTTAAGATCTAATGTGTAATTATTGTGTATCATGTTTTCACTTTATTGACAATGATGCCTTGTCGTAGTAGATAACAAAATTCGATTGGGCCACCGTTTCGTATCATAAATGTTCTCCAATCAGTGGCGGAACTAAGCTTTATTAGTTATGTGTAACATGTGATTTTATTACAACTTAGTTTAGTCATCTTGTTCATTATGATTCATTTGAATTTTGTCATATGAAATTTATTTTATTTTACTTTTATGCATTTTTTTTGTTTTATACAATTATTATATTAATTAATTGATAATATTTTTTAAATAAAAATATATTGGAAAATAAAGTAGAATGAAAATCATTATTTTTGTTTTAATATATTATATTATAAGGGTACTCGCACAATGCAGCGAGAAATATCTCGATTTTAGTGTTTCATTTTTTTTTGTTTCAGTCGATGTTATAATACGATTTTATGTGGTTTTGAGAAAAACGATAATGTTTTTACTTTTGAATAAAATATAAATATGAATATATCATAAAAATTTGAAACAAAATATTGATATTAATACTAAACTAACTATTTAAATATTTTTCTTTTTTTGTGTATTTATTTAATTCATTTTTGGTTTAATATATATTTTTTATAAAGATAATAATTAAGTATTTTGTTAAAACTCAATGATTATCTTAAATATTTTAGATTTTTATATTTAAAATGAGATGTTTATTCTCTATTTGATTCTGTTTATCTGCAATTAGTTACACAAATTCAAACAAGAAACTTAAAAAGTCGTACGTACACACATTTTATTTGTAATGTTGAATTTTAAGTAATATGCATCAATAAATAATACTTTGTGCATAAAAATGGTTTTTAAAAGTTTTTATCAAATGTTTTATGATATAGTATAGATTATTGTGGATTTCTTTATTACTAATGTTAAAAAAAGACAATACAACCACCGTCATACCTCCTCAACGGTTCAATACCTCTATCACAAGAAACATCTCCAAAAAACCAACTCCATCTTCATCTTTCTCTTTTGCTTTCATCTCCATTTTTTTCCATCTTCTATTTCATCTCCCAACACAAAATCGAAATTATACATATCTCGTATTTCATCTACAAACACAAAATCAAGAAATACAAAATCAGATTTGTCAGTCAAGAGAGACGAAACTAGCGGGTTGGATATCCAGGTTAATCAAAAAAAAAATATGTCAGCTAGGGTTCACGAGAGAGATGAAAATGAAGGATGATTTTGTGTGGGTCTACTCAGATGAAAATGAAGAACAATTTGTTTTACTCAGATCTGTTGGCAGACTGATTATGGAGTGATGGTGTTGCCATGAAAATGAACAAAGTGAGAGAGATGCAAATTTAGGAAACTCCTCTAAATTGAGGAGAAATGATTTTTATTAAAATCTATTATAATGATTAATTAATTTTTTGAAACCAAACACCATTTTTCATTCTTTTTTGAACCAAATATATCAATGATTATCATTTTCATTCATTATCTTTAAGAGCATCTACAGTGATGGAACATCCAAGAATTTCACTTGTCATATTTTTTTTCCTGTCACATCATTGTCACTTCAACAAAGTAAGAATCTCAATAAAACTGCACAATGAAGAGTTACAAAAACCTCAATTTCCATTTTCTAATTTATAAAATGTAATTTTATTTATAGATTATTATATAAATTTAATATATATATATATATATATTATAAAATTGAACCGAGTAAAAAAGTTCAAATATAATTTATTAATTTTCACTTTTGTATATTAATTTTAATTTGCTAATTTATATATTTTCTTAACATATTTGAAAAGCAATTAAAACATAAAAATAATTTATATTACATTTTACTATTTTCTACTTTTTTATATTAATTTTAATTTGTTAATTTACATATTTTCTTAACATATTTGAAAAATAATTAAAACATAGAAATAATTTTATATTACAATTAAAAAGGTGCAAAATTACAAAAATATTAATCTTAATAAAAAAGTAACACTAAATTATAAATAGATAGGTCACTCGTAATCTCGATTCAACCAAATATGTTCAAAGGGATCAAAGTAACCATAGCGGATGCATCAGATGGACGTCAACCAAGTCAGAGTGGAGTTAATGATGAACTTCATTTGAACACATCTCAGAATTTCCTTGAAGATATTTTTGGAATTCATGGGTAGAACCTTAAAATATTTGTACTGAATTATCTACCTATTCATCTATCCAACTGATCAACATGTCACTTTCATCTTCAACGATTATATTATGCAATTTTATGTATGTAAGCATAACATCCCTTAACTCTTCCTAATACCACCATCGTGATGGCCAAAAGAGGAATTCTTCCAGTAGTACCAGCCATTTACCCCACTTCCCTTGTTTGTGGGTATATGGTTTTTGCATTTCGTTCAATAGGGGGGAACACGAGACCTATAAAGAAAGGGGAATACAGATAAATGTTTTTTAGATTTTGTCGCATTAGTAGGATTCATTTTTAATTATCGCCCAACAAGATTGAAACACTCCAAAATGCAAGCTCAACATTCTTTCTCGCATGCTCTTTGTAGTAGAGGCTGATACAGTTCAATTCAACTCTTCTCAAAATCTCACTCAAAAGGTGCTGAGCTGGAATCCCATTGGTAAATCAATCATGAATTGTTTTTCCTCAATTATTTGAACATGTGAAAAATAATATAATGAGATAATTAAAATTTAAACTCATTGATACATAACTTGTATAAAATTTTACAAGAAACAAAAAAATAAAATAAAACACAATTAGAAAAATTATTTTATATTTTTATATCAATTTCAAACTTAATTATATGTTTTATATATTTATTAAAACAAAACAAAAATGGTAAAAGATAATAAAAGGAATGTATGCAAGAACCTGAGTTCTTGTTCAAGCACACAATAAGAACTTGTGACGGGACAAAAACCTCTTTCTTACAGTGAAGGTTCTTATAAAAAGCAAATTGTATCATTCATGTTGTTTATGTAGGTTAAAAATCCGAATCTATCTATATTCACTAATAATTATTATCAAGTATTTACTAAATTTATGGTATTTTTGAACCTTTTTTTTCAAAAAAAAAAATTAGAGATTTCATTTACTTAACTACTTTTTAGAAAAATATGCATCAAATAAAAACTTTATAATATAATTGTATTGAATATTAAACAACTAACAAACCAACAAACAGTTTCATGGTTTTATGCCTAAAATGTCTATACATGTTTCCTTATTTTTTAAGAAAAATACAGTTTTCAACTTCAAATTCAATTTAATTATTAACTAAAAACTCATAAATACCCCTGAAACTCGTTTTTAAGGGAGACTTCTATTAAAAAGGTATTGGCGATATTTTTTTTAATGATGTAATTTGTAAAACAAAATATGTATTTTATAAATGTACTTTAGTTACAAACGTTATTAATTAATTAAAATAGCTATAAATGTAATTTGTTAAACTATGAGGATGAAAATAGAAACTTTAGCAAAGTACATGGACAAAAACTGTAATTTACATTTCGAATAATTGCATGATATTTTGTTGTTATGGTTTAGTTGCTATATAACAGAAATGACATCATCAAAAGAATTGACATATGTCATTGTATTCACGTCATCAAATTATTCAGATTTTACACTGATTCTAAAGTTTGCTGCAAATTGCTTTTTATTTAAAAATTAATCATCCCTATTTAATATGAATTTCAATGTGGCCCC